TGCAGCTCCCTCTCCGGGTCAAACCCAGAATCAGTTACAGGGAGGTGTCGGTCTGCAGCTGGCCCCCTCGACCCCCCAGATCTCGAAGCACGCACCTGCCGCCCCCAGCCAGATAATCTGAGGGCGGGGCCCACAGCGGACCCCCTCAATGCGCTCCTGAGAAAACCCCTTATGCGTGAAAAAGCCTCTTTGTGCGTGTTTTGTTGTGAGCAGTTTTATGGGCCAACATGGTCCTTTATGAGGTGGGGGGAGGGTCCAGAGGACTCTTTTTATGAGGTGGGGGGGCTCAGAGGACTCTATAGAGCTGGATAATCCATTCAGGCTGAAGTTGAACCTGCTGTTTTCATATTTATTAGCTGGTTAGAGCAGACGAGGCAGCTGAAGGCCCGACACGCTGAGTCCTGGAATCAGACGTGACCTTTGACCTGACGGGTCTCCAACAGGTGCCTCACCTTCACCTGGCCCCTTCAGAAACCAAACTTCAGTTTATTAACCACACAAACCTCAAAGATTTACAAGTTTTATTCATGAATTAACGGAGACTCCTCATCAAGTTTAATTTAAACCAGTTATTTAATAAAACCTGAAATAAACTGGTTTGTGTTTAAAATGTTCATTTCCAAAAGAAGAGGACAAAATAAAAGTGTTCTTTAGTTGTTTGAATGAATTAAAGATCTTTATTTTACTTCTGATGTAAATAAAATGTTTGTTTCTGAGATAAAGTTTGAATTAAACATCATCCCTTGTTTTATAACAATTTGATTTGAAATGCATTTTATTGTTGTTTATTGTTGTTTATTGTTGTTTGTCTAAATCTGGTCCGTCTTGTAAATGAGTCCTGGTGAGTCGGTGAGACTCACCTGTATAATATCTTCTCTTATCTTATAAATAAAGGTTGAATAAAAAAATCATAGGATGGATTTTAAATTAATTATAAATCTTTAAGAAGCAGAAAAATGTTTAAATAAAATCGTCTGTAAAATGAGACGAAGTTTCAAACAGAACAAAAATCCATTTCTGCCTCGTGCTTCCATCGTTGGGTCCCGGGGCCATGGCCCCCCCACTGCCACCCCGTTTCTGTCAGCGCCGATTGTTTCCACACCAGAGGAGCGCCGCAGGCCCCCACTGCCACCCTGCATGGGGGGGGGGGGGGTCAAACAGCAGCTGAGCTGCAGGGGCGTCCAAACTTTCACATGTTGACCATGAAAACAAACAAACACATAAATATAAAATAATAAATATACTTTATATTTAGTGCGGTGTTGAATTCTGGGAAAATTCTAAGAGAAAAACATGTCAGAGAATCTTTAGAAGTTTTTATTTGATCAGAATGTATTTACTTGTTTACTTGTTTGTTTGTTTAAATAGAAAATGCTCAAGTTGATCCTTTATGAATTAAAGTGGTTCTTGAGCTGTGATCTCGGTCTGGATCTGGTTCTGGTCAAGGATCTTCTTCCTGTCAGGTTTTAAATAAAATTATTCATGAGAACTTCCTGCAGAACCGACCGGGCTTGGTTCTGATCAGACTTCCTGTTTTTCCAGAATCTTTCTGTTTCTGGACTCAGAGAAACCTGGGTCCTGGTCCTGACTGGACCTGACTGTCCTGCAGGTCTCACAAGTTCCTCTGATCAAACTGACTTACCTCCTCAGCAGGTCCTGAAAATCAACAGGAAACCACCAGAACCCTCAGGACTGGGACAACATGTCCGTTATTTCTCCTCTAAAATATTTTATTTGGGCAAAATTGATTTATTTGAGAATTTTAATTTGAGTGTTGTTAGTTTATGATAAATCTTTTTATTGTTTGTTTATGGGGCAGCACAGTGGGTCAGTTGGTAGAGCTGCTGCCTCTCAGCGAGCAGGTCCCTGGTTCAAATCCCAGTCCAGGGGTCTTTCTGGTGGAGTTTGCATGTTCTCTCCGTGCTGCGTGGGTTTTCTCCTTGGAAACTGTTACTGTTAGTCAAAGACCACGAGGAGAGAAACGTGTCAGGAGACGGAGGAGAAGAGGAAAGTGAAGAATGTAGGACTGAGGGTTGCAACTCTAAATGTGGGGACAATGACAGGCAAAGGTAGAGAGTTGGCTGACATGATGCTGAGAAGGAAGGTAGATGTTTTATGTGTCCAAGAGATGATCCTGAAGGAGGAGTTGGCAAAGAATGCAGTAGAGGTGAAGAGAGTGTCAGATAGGGTGATGTGTCTGAAGGTAGAAGTAGAAGGTCTGATGCTAAATGCTGTCAGTGGTTATGATCCACAGGTTGGATGTGATGAGGAGAAAGATCTGGATGAAGTGATAGAAAATATTCCCAGGGAGGAGAGAAAGAAAAAGAGAGAAGAATGAAGTTCAAACCATCTCTTCCATCGATCATGATGGGCAATGTGAGATCACTGGGAAACAAATTGAAAGAACTTCAAGCCCTAACAAGGACCCATCCAGAGTATCGGGAATGCAGTGTTATGTGTTTCACTGAGACATGGCTGCAGGATCATATCCCCGACTCCAGCGTTTCATTGCCAGGCTTCCTGACCATACGAGCAGATAGAGATTTAAAGAGGAGTGGCAAAAGGAAAGGTGGTGGGTTGGCAGTGCTTGTGAACAACAGATGGTGTAATCCTGAACATGTTACTGTGAAGTGTCTCTCTGCAGTCCAGATATTGAACACTAAGATGTCGTCCATATTATTTGCAGAGAGTTCACCAGTGTTATTTTGGCAACTGTTTACATTCAACCCAATGCTGTTGCCGAGACTGCATGTGATGTCATCAGCTCCGAGGTTGCTAAGCTACAAACACAACACCCTAGTGTGTTTGTGGCAATATCTGGGGATTTTAATCATGTCACACTCTCTGCTACACTTCCAACATTCCAACAGTTTGTCAGCTGCTCTACCAGAGAAAACAAAACGCTGAACTTGTTTTATGGAAATGTCAAGGATTCATACATCGCTAAAGCAAGACCCCCTCTTGGCAGATCAGATCACAATCTTGTGTTTCTCTGCTCAAAATATAAACCCCTTGTTCAGAGGCAACCTGCAATAAAGAGAACAGTGAGAAAATGGTCAACGGAAGCTGAAAAAGCCCTGCAGGGTTGTTTTGAGGCTACAGACTGGGATGCACTGTGCCAGCCACATGGAGAGGACATCAATGCCATGACTGAGTGTGTGACCGACTATATAAACTTCTGTGTTAACAACACCATCCCCACCAGAACAGTGAGATGCTTCCCCAATAACAAACCCTGGATCACCACTGACCTGAAGGAACTGCTAAACCAGGAAAAAGAGCCTTCAGGGAGGGAGACGGGGAATTATTGAAGAGTACACAGAAGCAATTAAGAAACAGCAAGGAGGTGTACAAGAAGAAGCTGGAGAGCAAGCTCCAACAGAACAATATCAGAGAGGTGTGGTCAGGGATGAACCAGATCACAGGCTTCAAGCAGAAGGAGGATCAGAAGGATGGAAGTCTGGACAGGGTCAATAAACTGAACACGTTCTTCAACAGGTTCAGGTCAGGAACAAGCTCAGCATCCTCCTCTCTTGCCCACAGCCAAACAGACATACCACCCTCCACTGACCCAAGGCTGTCCTGTCACACCTCAAATACTCTATCTACCACCTCAGTCATGGACCCTTCTTCTTCTACATGTTGGTCTTCAACCAAATCAGAAGATGCTGATACCTCCTTTGCCTCCCCCCTCTGCGTCTCCAGAAGTCAGGTGAGGAAGCAGCTGGAGAGACTGAACCAGAATAAGGCTGCAGGTCCAGATGGTGTCAGTCCCAGAGTCCTGAAGGTCTGTGCAGAGGACAGAGGAAAAGCCAAAAGAAATAGTTTATGATAAATGTTTTTATTGTTTGTTTATGATAAATGTGTTTATTGTTTGTTTATGATAAATGTGTTTATTTATTGTTTGTTTATGATAAATGTGTTTATTGTTTGTTTATGATAAATGTGTTTATTTATTGTGTGTTTATGATAAATGTGTTTATTTATTGTGTGTTTATGATAAATGTGTTTATTGTTTGTTTGTTGCTGCATAAAATGTGAGGGCCTGACTCTGATGGAGCGGCGCCTCCTGGTGGACAGCTGAGTCCTCACAGCTTCTCATGGGTTCTCATGTGATCCAAAGGGTCCAGATGAGTCTGTCTCTGTTCAGAGGTTCTGCAGCTCCAGCAGAACCAGTCTGAGTTCTGCTGGTTGTCAGCTCACTGTTGAAGTGCCTTTGAGCAGAACCAGTGGAACTTTCTAACACCAGCAGAGTTCTGGTTTCTAAAAAAAATCTGAACAATTGAAAGAGAAACGGGTTTTTATAGATTCAGGTCCAGATATTCTGCTGGTTCTGGACCGGCTGCTACATCCTCTGCTGATGAACCCTCTCCAAACAGAACTTCTGAGGATTCAGCTGGTTCTGATTTCTGATCAGTCTTCCTGATGGTTCCGATTGTTCTGGTTCTGCTATAAAGACGTGTTCTGCTCAGAGTGAACATTGGATCAGAACCGAAACCCACACTGTCTGAGAGAGATTATCCGATCCAGCCCCAGGACCTGGCTCCTGGACTCAGTCGGACCGGACCCACAGGGCCCCGGGGTACAGGCTGACAGGTCCCGCAGGGACCCACTCAGGATGGAGGTTACTGGGTGGTACCAGTATCTCTGGCCGCACACATCCAGCAGAACCTGCAGAACCACCGGCGGCCATAGGGAGACCCAGGACAGCCGTGTGACGAACCGACACACAACACTGCTGTTCTGAACACAAAGGGCCCACTGAGAGACAGAGGCACATGATCAGAACCTTCAGACAAGTTCTGCTCCATCGGTTCTGAAAAAAACACACAAACACACAAACGGTTCTGATGCTTTAATTCACGATCAAAACAGAAAGAGCTGAGATCGGCTGAGGGACCAGCACCAACAGAACCTTCTGGGTTTCACGTCACAACACGAGCTGGACTCGTTAACTGACTCGTTAACTGACTCGTTAACGAGTCAGTTAACGAGTCAGT